AAAGGCAACTGATTTCCTGCTACTTCTCTTTTCAGAGAGGAAGTGAGGGTGTCTGCATTTCACAGAAATGGCATCCCTGAGTGCTGTTATGAGAGGCAACTGTCATGGAGGCTGTGCAGGGGAGAAGGGTGTGCACCTGTCACAGCACTCCTCACCCACTCGGGCTTCTGTGGCAGCTGCTGTTTCTGTGACGAGGCTTGTGTGCACTGGGCAACTCCATGCAAGCACAGCCTGACAGGCCCTCGCTCCATTCCTCCTCAGACCCCAATGGAGGTCCCTGAGCGCCCCACTCTGCACCTGTGTGTGTGCAAGCCCTGGAAGCTCACGGATTGAGACCTCTTTTGGGTCTAATTTATGGGAGATGGAAGTGGGTCAATAGACACCTCCAGGCCTCTCTCCCTGGGCGTATGTCTCCATACTTCCTGCCTCATTCTCCTCATTCACTCTCACTTGAGGGGATTAACCTCCTTCATAAAGAGGCAGCACAGGCTCCTTTCCCTGAGTCCCATTTTCTGAGGAACCCAGGCTGGGAAACCCATCAACACCCCCACCCCTTTCCTGCCACAAGTCATCTTCCATTACAATCCATGCGTTTCTTCCATCCTGATACTGGTCTGGAATTATGTGTCAGGGGTCCTTGTTGAAGGACACTGAGGTACATCGATCTTGTATGCTCCTAGAATCAGTGCTCAGGACCACTCCTGACATATCAGTGGTGCTCAGTAATATTTGTAAAACGAACAAATAAATCCTCCAACAGGCTGTAAAGATTAGGGCTCCAACAGCAGCTCCAAATTCCCATTTACTCTTTCCCCTAAGAAGCTAGGGGGTGACAGATACGTAAAAGCCAGGACGTGTTGCTCTGATTTCCCACAATGCCAATTAGCTCTGCCCACCCCACTCCCTTTCCATGCCCCTGACTCTTCTCTCCACAGAATGAGCTGCCTTGCCCCTCGTGAGGGAGCCCGAATGCCCTGCCAACATCCCCCATTTTGACAAGAAGTGATAGGTCCTTAGAGGCTCATAGAGACTCAACCTTACTGGGAAAACTTGTCACCAGTTTGGGAATTGTTTCAGCAATAGCTTAAAAATCAAGGGAGTGGGGGAGCACTGGGTTTAAACGCTTCCATTTAAATAATATTAAATATTAAGTGATTTGCCTCTAACATAAATGATTAATGCATTTCCCTTCCCAGAGTGATGTTAATACTGCAGCTAAACTCTCTACTAGCACTTCTAAAATGAGCTCTTTCCAAATGGAAGGCTCGGCAGTGGTTATTTCGCAAGCACAGATGCCTCCTAACATAGACAGATGGTCAGATCCCCAACGTCCTCCCTCCCAACCTACAAAGAATTCCAGAGGATTCCAGAGGAAAATGAGTGCTGCCTCCAGGAAGGAGGCCATGGAAGGGACTTGCTGAAAACCCTCGGCGTCAGACCCAACGAAGGCAGAGTGAGCACCGTGCCCACCATCTCCCATTGTGCGTCTTGCTGGGAACCTGCCCTACCTAGGTCTCTCACAATGGCACCCTGGCTGCCTTCTGTGGAGGACATTGCCTCAGGCCCCCGCTCTGACCGCGCCTGGGAGCAGTGCTACCTTGGTGTGTACCTTGGCCATCCTGGGCAGAGACTAATCCTTGAAAGAGGGTGACAGAACTTTACCAGCAGTTTCAGCCTCAGGGTCAGCAATGAAATAATGAGCTGACCCATAAACGTGCTGAGGGTGGAAAGCAGGAAGTCAGAAGCCTGGGGTTCAAGTCCCGACAAGTCACCCAGTGTGACACTAGACAAGTTTCCTGACATTCTGAATCTCAGCTTCTTGGTGGAAAGGCAGTAGAAAGTCAAAGCCACAGGATAGTAATGAAAATGAAGTATGACTTTGGTCTTCCAAAATCGTAAGTGCTGTTCAAATGTGAACTCTTGCTTCACTCTGATGTAAGTCTAAAGGGGAGAAGCTATTTCATGGAGATTGGCCACTTTTCACAACATTTAAGAGCACAGGTTCAAATCCTGGCACATCCACTTCCGGGCCATGCATCCTTGGTCAAGTTGCTTATCTTCTCCAAGCCTCAGTTTCCTCATCTGTGAAATGGGTTAATAACAGCACCTCGCATTGTTTTTAGGATTAAGTCAACTACTCAATACAAAGTCCTCGGCAGTGCTTTGCACGCATTACGCATTGTTCGAGTGTCTGTTATTATTTTTATGGAACAATTCAAAAGCTTCTCAACATGCCACGTAAAACAATAAATCCTTCAGTGTTTCAAAGGCATATTTAACTCTGAAAATCTGAATAATAGTCTCTTAGTGCCACTCATGCCAACTTGTCCAAGCATCAACATGAACTTCCTGTAACATGAATCTAATCGTGAAGGAACGGGTCCTCCCAGATGTAGCCCTTCGTAGCCCTGTTCCCACTCCAGCCTCTCCCCCAAACCTCACAACACACCCACAGGCACGCTGTCACCTGAGAAGTGTTACAGCTCCCCAGAACATCACTGCTCCCCTCTTTCCGCCTTCGCACACGCTGCCTGAGTTATTCCCTCCCCAGAAGCAGCCTCCAAAATATCCTTTAATTAAAACTCAGCTCTCATGATTCCACAGCCTTAGGTCTTCCTCTAGATTACTGCTCCGTGTTTGGGGCCATCGCTATAATTTCTCAAGAGAATGTACCTCTCTCAGCATTGTCTGCATTTTGTCATTATGTCTATTTCTTTGTTGTCTTTCGCCATGACATGTGGGGTGAGCAGAGGCCATTTTCCTGGCCACTCTAGCTCCTGTGTACCAGAGTCATGGTGAGTGAATTGTGTGGCAGTTTATAAGAAACCGGCTGATAATAATTGAATACGCCACCGTGTCAGAGTTGGATTCAGTTTTTTATAACATGATACCTCAGAATAAGGTGGAAGTATCTTTCCCTATTTCACAAAGCAAGTTCAGAGGTGATCTGCTCATGGCTTTGGAAGATGCATAGTTATCAATGACTCAGGCAGCTCCCACTTTAGTGCCTTCATTCCAGAACGTGACATGTGTCTTCAAGGTTACCGCAGCCTCCAAGGCAGCTGTGGATGCACAGCCATCAGCGCTGCATTCTGCTTAGCAGGAAGGACATGGCCCTATTCCTTTACCATGGTTTCCAAGAATTCCTACACATTTTTCCTTACATTTAACCTCCATGGCCACACCAAGTATCAAGAGAGCCTGGGAAAATATGGGTTTTGTTTTGTACTAGAATGAAAATGAGGTTGTTTTAATAGAACAATGGGTAACTAGTAGTCAGTACTCCATGACCTATAGGATTATGGGAAAAGTCATGACGTATTTTTTCTGTTTTTTATTGCAAAAATGCATCATTACTTTTCCGACAATGTAATACTAATGCCCTTATCATGTCGTTTAAATTATTTACTTCTACGGCTCTTACTTTCAAGATTGTGAGGGCCTTGAGTACAGATATCTCATTTACTTGTTTTTAGTGTCAGTAGAGTCTAGTTCGATGCCTCAATAACCAGGAGAGATTAAATTTGCTGATGAAGTGATTAAAAGGATGAATAAATAATTTAATCAACAAACAAACAGATGTTTGAAATTAAAAGAGAAACACTTTGCAAATACATTTCAACAATCTCATTCTACTTGAGCTTTCTCAATAGTTGAATGTAATATTTATGACCATTTAAAGTTTAACAAATTGCTTAACAGGAGATCTGAGATTATTCTGACATTTCAAATGAGAGAATTTTTTCTCTGCAAACATTACAGGGCTATAAATTTTCATTAGCTAAGTTTGCTCACTCCTTAATGTGGATGTGGCTCCTTTTCTTTTCAAAGGTTAATTGTATTTTTCAAATGTCTACTTTTTTTCTAACTCACATGGGGTACTATACTTAAACATACTGACCTCATCCTTTCTTGTATTTACTAGCATTTATTCTAACCTTGTTACTGAAGAGATTTGAACATAATATTCCAAAATCTAATTCAGTTGTATTCAAACGCTATTTGACTTATTTTTTGAATTTCTAAACCTTTCGCAAGAAAATGTTGTTTCTTTTATAATGCAAACAGGTGCATTTTATTGAAATTCGCAGCTATTAATATAAGTAAAATGTGAAGGCAAGCTTTCGATTCCTCCAAATCTTTCAGTTTTGAAAAACAGAAGTGTTGAGTTCTGAGTTTCAAGTATATTTTGATTTGAAATTAATTGCTGATTTAGATCCCAGAGCCTTTGTCATCTGTGCATATTTAACTAGAAATGTACTTGGAAAAGTAACACACTTCATGCATCATTAAGCACTTTAAATAATTAATAGTTGATTATTTTCTCTTTTAAGATGGCCTCATTTATAATTCTGCCTCAACAATGAGATTGACCTTTAGGTCAAAATCAAGTTGCATTTCTATTTAGAAAACAGTTCTTTACTTAGAGAGTATAACAAGTGGCACTGTCAAGCTTCATGCTATGTGAGGGAGGAAAGGCTTGGCCAGAGTTATACAAACATTAAGTGAGGGATCAATAGTCATTGTAATAATGCAATGCTCAAATTGATGTTTTAAGTGCCGGACCCCTGGGACCCTTCCCTAAGCCACCAATTGTAATTTAGTAAACAAGACCCAACCCATGAGGCATACATGGGATAATAGCGGCAGCCACAAAAGAGCAAGACCTCAGAGAGGACCACCTTGCTTCCCACCTGCCATCCCAGCAAGAAGAGGCTGGTTTCCTGTCCCTGTGCCTGCCTCTCTGGAGAGCTGAGCAGACCCCAGGAAGTCTTGTAGAGGAGGCTTTTGCAGCGTGGCGTTGAGATTCTTCAGGTGGTAAAAACTCTCCAGTTTAGTGATAAATTTCCCTAGTGTATATCCACCGCAAAAGGAGTCTTCAATAACTACCAACTAAACCGTTGTGATCAATTTAAGTCATATTTCAGAGAAAAGGACAGGAAAGGAACTAGTTCCTGGAGAGAGGTCTTAACATCATGACATACAGGTAGTCAAAATTTTATGGACCCCAAAACACAAATTCACTCTTCTCCACAGTGGGGTTTTAAGCAAAGCTTCCATTTAAGCAAGACACTTATCCCAACTTTAGGTTACCCGAAGTTCCCAAGACAAAAGGTCAACACCCAGCTTCGAAACAGCCAATCCAACCTTCCAGCCATCGTCGCTAAAACACGATGATGCTCACTCGTCTGACCTTTGCCCAAATCCAAAGGTGTGGTGTCCAACATGTGCCTCTTCAGGGACCACGTAAGTGTCAGCTCGGTCATGGTGACTTTGGGGCCTGAAAACCAACCAAGAAAATTGGCCTGGAATTGACATCCCAGTAGCTCGGAAGGCTCCCCACATGTGAAAGGAGAGAGAAATGACTTGCAGAATTTGACTTTATTCACGTAATAAGCTCATTCAATCCTAACAGTCCTATAGGATAAATAGGGGCCTTTCCAATCTCCCAATTGGGATGCAGTGGCTTAAAGTGGTTTTTACTTAAAGTTACAAAATGTATCTAAGTAAATGACAATAGCTCTGCGATTCCAAAATATTTGGGAATGACGGCTGAAGAAGGAAAAAGGATGCAGCTTGAGAATTAAATAAAACAATTACACAGATCACATATCTTGCTGTAAGCACATGTTGATACAGAGGAATGAAATACAGAAATTCATGAAATGCAGACCTCAGCATAGCTTCCTTAGATAGAATTTTGCAGCCCAGAAATCAGAAATTTCCCTATATACTCTCCTAAAAATCCTAATTCAACCCACAAGTTCACAAACATCATCCTAATAATGTAGATGATTCAATTTCTTGTATATAAATCTTTTAGAGATGGTTGGCTGAAAGGCTAATAGCAATGTGGAGTGTTCCTGACTCCACTCTCCCTTCTTGGCCCTTCTGGACTGATTCATGCTGTAGGTGGATTAACTTTACTCATGTAATGCAGGAAACATATAAATCTTGGTGCACTGAAATAGTCTTTAGGGGGGTGTTGACTTTTCATGGATGTAATTATTTCATGAATGATCACAATATTTTAGGCCTTAGAGTGACATTTCACAGTGAGCCATGGTGTTTCGCTGCATCAATATTTTCAAGGATCTTTCAGTCTCCAGAAAGTTCCAGTGCAGGGAGGGACTTTCTGATCCTAACGGTCAGGCTAAGGGTTGTATCATGGAAGTCAGCTCACAGGGAAACCTGACACTAAGTAAGTAGTGGTCATGTTTGGCGCATATATCTGGACACGTTCCTCACCTACCACAGCCCTGCCTTTGCAAACTGGATGGATTTATTCTATGAAAAGTATGTATCAGACCACAGGCAACTGAAAAGCCACCAAGAACCCAAACAGCTTTCCCGCTCGGATTTTCATCGCCACTTCTTTCTGTGCACCTAATCGCCTTTCTTGCCCCCTTCTTTGGAGTACTTCTTTTTATCAAACATCAAATGATGGAAAATTTGTTTGCTATGTTTTATATATTTTCTATGCAAACAATAAAAACCAACAGCACAGGCTGAGACTGAAAACTGCTGGCTACAGATCCAAGATCCAGGAAGGAATCCTGGCGTGTGTGCCTGGCTCCGGGGCGGGGGGGGTACCTATCCTGAATTCATTCACCCTGGACCAGGGGGTGGGGCTGGATGGCAGGATCACCCGGCACCAGTTTGACTCCCAGAAACAGAGACTGTGATCACAAAGTGAGCCATGGATCCCAGAAGCCACTTATAAAGATACAAAATAAGCTGGTTCTGCAAAAGACGGGTGAGTTGAGTAAGACTATTCCTAATTTTCTTCTCCCTGAACACAAAACAATTAAAATGAAGAAAGAAAATCAGAAATAGAAGGGACCTTGCATAAAGGCTGAAACTAGGAAAGGGAATGTTAAATATCAACATATTTCTTTGGAGGGTGGTACAGATGGGACCACGTTCCTATCTCTTCCTGGTGAATTTTGAAAGGAAACCCTAGTGAAAGACCATATCTGCAAGAGTGGCAGAGGGAGCAGAGGACAGGTTTAGAAGTTATTATGTCACATGGGCCCACTTCGTTCTCCAGAGATCAACAGTTGGAAATGGCTACATGGATGGGTAATACTCCCAGGTACAATTTCACTAACACTTGAAAGGCGTGTTGTCCAAACATAGGGCTACCATGGCCAGTGGTGGGGCAGGTGAGCAGACCTAACAGGTAAATAAAGATGGGGTCCAGACAGAGCCCATCCATAAGACGTGAGGGCAAACAGGACATAAAGAAAAGAATGCCTTTGTTTCAAAATTACTACCCAGGAAAATATTTCATCATGGTTTCTTTGAAAATCTGTGAATCAAAAAATGGAGAAGACTAGATCATTATTATCACTTAGCTGAAACCACAATGAGCAGCAAAAGGAACTGTCCCAAACATCACGACTCAAAACAGTAAGTGTTTGTTCAGCTCATGAGTCCAGCGAGTTGGTAAGAAAGGTTATACTTTGCTTCTGGTCTTGTTGTGTGCATTCACATGTCTAGAAGTTGGCTGGCTGTCATTGTGATGATAGATGCAACTTGTCATGTGTGTCTCATCACCTCCCCAGCTCCAGTGGGCATTTGCCTTGGAAGAGGTAGGTGGGCCTCCTGAGGCATAGACACAGGTCACTTCTGCTTCCACTTCTACTGACCAAAGCAAGTGACAATGCCCACCCAGATTCAAACGGTAGAGAAACAGATCCCACCTTTTGGCGGTAGGAGCGGCACGGTATTATTTCAAAGGGTGTGGACACAGGAAGAGGTGGAAAATTGGAGCCAGTTTTGCAATCAATGTGCCATGACATAAAGAAATTGAAAATGAAATGTTAAAAAAGATTTATTACAAGAGATATTTGATAGTACCTACTTGTTCTCATAAGGAATAAAAAGAAAATATGTATCCTTAAGAGTAAAAATAAGTGAATAAGATGTTAAATCAAGAGACAAGAAGTGCAAAAGAAGAGGGGGCTACTTAAGGAAAAAGTAGTTAAACATTGCTGCCATAATTTAAGATGCCTAAGCAAGTGCTGTGGGTTATAACTGATGGTACAGAGAGCTGAGTCTGAAGAGGTCAAATCTGGGGATCTCTTATTGACTATAGACAGAAGGCAAATATAAATTATAATTAGGGAGAAATGATGAAATCAGAGCAATAACATCTTCATAGTGTTCCTGTAAAGAGAAGGACATAAACGGAGAGAAACACAAAGGAAAGATTAAATAGAAAACATTCTTGAACTGAGGAAAGACCTAAACATGCTACTCCAAACAAGTCACTGAGTATCAAGAAAAATATGATGAAAACAACAAAGCAAACTCATGTGTGATATTTCATTGTATGTACACAACACAGTTTCATTATCCATTCATCTGTTGATGGACACTTAGGTTGTTTCCATATCTTGGCTGCTGTGCATAGTGATTCTGTGAACATGGGAATGCATATATCTCTTCAAAATCTGGATTTCATCATATGGTAGTTCCACTTTTTTAATTTTGGGAGGGACATCCTTACTTTTCTCCATAGCAATTACACCATTTCACATTCCTACCAACAGTGTCCAAGGGTTCCAATTTCTAAACATCCTTGCCAACACCTGTTATCTTTCTTTTCATAAAAGCCATTTTAACATGTGTGAGGTGATATCTCATTGTGGTTTTGATTTGCAAGTTCATGATCATGAGTGATGTTGAATAATTTTTTTGTGTATGTGTTGGCCATCTGTCTGTCTTCTTTAGAGAAATGTCTATTCAAGTCCTTTGGTCAATGGCTTTTTTTTTTTTTTTTGCTATTGAGCTGTATGCATTCCTTATATAGTTTGGAAATTAACTTCTTATCAGATATCTAATTTGCAAATATTTTCCCATTCTGTAGGGTGCCCTTTTTACTCTTTTGATTGTTTCTTTTGCTGTCAGGAAATCTTACCATTGGAGGAGACCACTAGTGAGTGAACCTGAAGGACCTCAAACTCAGTGAAATCAGTCAATCACAAAAAGACAAATCCTGTATGATTCCACTCCTTTGAGGTACCTGAAACTGTCAGACTTATAGAGACAGAATAATGGTTGCCAGGAGTTGGGGGAAGGCGAAAATGGGAAGTTGTTATTTACTGTGAATAAAGTTATAGTTATACAAGATAAAAACGTTCTATAGGTCTGCTGTACACACGGTACCTATAGTTAGCAATATGGTAGTGTGTGCTTGTTAGGAGAGCAGAGGCATGCGAAGTATTCTTAACGCGCACACACACACACACACACACACACACACACACACACAACTTTTGGAGGCGCTGGATGTTTATTACCTTGATCATGGTGATGACATCACAGGTGTATGCATCTGTCTGCGTCAACCAAATTGTGTATATTAAATATATGCAGTTTATGGTATATCAGTTATACCTCAATAAAGCGACAAAAACAAGAAAATTATGTGTTTCAATGAAATAGAATAATATGCAGCCATAATAAACTAAAATAGAGAAAAATAAGAAATTAATGACTTTAAAATTAAAAAATAGTGAAGAAGTAAATCAAATTCAATTTCATTGACAGACAATATAATACAAAATTCACTAATAAGGAAAATTGTACTATAATATATGATGGAATGCAGTAAGTCTACAGTGAAATTAAAGACAATTTCTTTCAAATTCATAAAGAAAAAATGATTCTCATTCTAATTCATGAAAGGGAATTAAAAATAATAAAGTATCTTCCATTCTCTTCTAAAAATCAAACAAAAGGCTGACATCAGACCTACTCAAAGCAATTCAAAGAATGTAATATCTTCAAATGTATATGCAGGCATCCTGACTATAATTTGAATAGATTTATTTTAGCATTATATTAAAATAGTAATGTATTCTAACCATGATAGAGTGATTTAAGAATGATTTACTATTAGCATAAAACTAATAACATGAATCATCATACTAATAATTAAAGGGAGAAAAAGCATATGACGGTTTTGAATAATTTTGAAAGCATCTCATAAAATTCTGTCTGTTACTTGCAAATATTGTTACTAAACCAGTAATAAATTCATACAACCTTAACATGATAAAGAAAAATCATAAAAACAACACAAATCTTAATTAATAGGGGTATCATCCAGAAATCTTAGAAAATACTTAGATGATTTTCCACCATCACTGTTGGTTAATGTTGTTTTGGATACCTACCTATCTATTACAAGTCAATATAAATAAGAGATACAAATAGTGAAAAGGATAAACAACCATTACTTATAGAATTATGATGCACACCACAAGAACA